GTTTGGTACCGTTTCTCACGCCATGTCTAGTTCCTTGCCAGTGAACAAGTCTAGTAAAACTAGAGCGTGGCCATTTCTAGCAGCGGGTTAAGGGTCCCTCTCTAGAGAGATGTTTTGGGAGGAGATCCCAAGCTCCAAGGATGGAATTGTCTCAATAATGAGCCAACGGTGACTCCAAGTGGTGAATGCCTGCAAGTGGCATCTTGATTTTCCAGTTTCAGCCTGGGTGTCTTCGGCTCCTCTTCCCTTCTGAGAGCTCCTCTGAGTTTTGGAAGAAAACTACCTCCTTCCTCTGTCCCCTGCCTGCACTCATGTGCAGCCCTAGTGCTCATTGCAGTGCTGCTGTGCTGTGCCTGTTGTGTCTCCTGTCTCCCACCTCCTGAATATGACAGGATTTGTTATCAGACTTGCAGTTATTAAACTGCTCCCCTGGTTTTATCTTTCTGGAAAAAAAAGGACCATGGTGAGCAGTGGTGACTTAGGGATGCTGATTGTTTGTGTTGGTGCCATGTATATGTGTAGGTACATGCACAGATGAGACAAAGGAAACCAGATAAATTGTCTGTAAATGTCTCTGCTAAGCTTGCCAATGCAGTTAAAAAAGGTGGTCAGAAACATCAGCCCTTTCTGTGTTTGCTCTCAGTGTAAGCCTGACTTGGACTTTCTCTGTGAGCTTCTATTTTGAAACCCACAAGCTTCTATTTTGAAAAATTTTATTGATTTTGGTCTTATTCTGGGTCATGGTGCTGCATTGCTGGCAGGTCTGCCATCGTGAGTGACAGCCATCATGTGGTGACACCAAAGCCAGCCAGCCTGAACCATGACTGACTGCGCTTCTCCCCTCTCTCCATCTCTCTAGCAAGCTGACTCAGGACAACAGGATAGAAAGCCCGATTCCTATCCTGCCTCTCCCAACACCAGACACTGAGACAGAGAAGCTGATCAAAATGAAGGATGAGGAGGTGAGACCCATTTCTGCCTAGGCCTCCTTGGGGTTGGAGATGCAATCTGAGGAGTTTCTCCAGGATTGCCCTATAGAGGCTGTCCTGGGGCTTCCTACCCCTGCCCCCCACCATCATGGGCTCCTGATGCAGAGGACAGGGTGTGAAAGCTGCGGCTTCCTCTCGCAGGGAAACGTGGCTCCATTCCATCCCAGATACAGATGCCTCTGCTCAGGCAGTAGTTAATGCTCTCTGAGGGATCCATTTGTCAGCTCTCAGGGACTGACCCCAGTGCAGATCACAGCTCCTGGCCACAACAGATCCCTTTTTGACTATTTCTTCTCTGTCTCATGCAGTTACGGCGGATGCAAGAGATGCTGCAGAAGATGCAGCAGCAAATGCAGGATCAGTGAGAGACAGGTATTCAGAGGGCAGAGGGAATCCTCCAGTGACCATCTGAGGCCTGGCAAGAGCTGTGGACATTTAGAAAAGGTTTCCTGTTGTATAGAGACTTGTGGGCAAGAGCTGCACCCGCACCCTCTAATTTATTAGCAGCAGTGCTGGCTTTGTGGTCAGCTGGATTGTGGAGGAGGCTGTTCACTTAACAGTTTACTGATGTGTATTTCTTTTTTAATAATTATTCTTTCTTTTCTTTTTTCTTTTTTTAAAAGAAAATAGCCTGGGAAGACCCTAAGGCATCCTAAAAAAAGAAAAAAAGAAAAGAAAAATATCTCCCTTTCCCATGTACTAATCTCTTGTTTGGGAATGCTCTGATATTTAAAGTCCTGGTTTCTCTGGTGTACGAACTTGAAGACTATCTGTGTCAATGCACGTAAATGTTTACTCCCAACCGAGGTGCTGTGCCCCCCTCCCCATTCCCCTTGTCTGGGGCCAGCACAAGCATTGTAAAGGCAGCCGTACCCTCCTGTGAGTTTGACCTGCGCTGATCAGGCTCCTCAGCCTGGGGCCAGCTCTGGCCCAGAGAGCTGGGGCTGGGAGTTTCTCTGTGGACTGACCTGCTCAGGGGTCCTGATGGTTGCCTAGTTTCCTGCCTGGGTTTTTCTGGGTTTTTTGTTTAGTTGGTTGGTTTTGTTTTTCCTATCAAGAAACTCCAGGATCTTTGCACTGAGCAGCAAGGGATTGAGTCTCTTGAGGTCACTTAGAAGAAAATGTCTTCTACTGCTCTCAGTTATGTCTTTCTGGCAAAGAGGATGAGTTGTTGACTGTTGCCTGCAAGGAGGAGATGGAGTGAGTCCCTTCTCAGCCGCGGCTTCCTCCCACAGCAGGCTGGTGGTGCTGGTAGAGGAACCCCAGGGCCCTGCAGTAGCTGGGTGAGAGTATCTCAGGGTTTAGCTCTGTCATCCAGCTGCAGTGTGTCTCCAGCGTCTGCTCTGAAACGATCAGTGGCAGCCAGAGTGCTTGGGCAGGACTGCTTTGGAGGGGATAGAAACCCTAGGGCTGAAATCCAACCCAAATGCAGAGCTGTGCCCTAACCCCATGCTTTGCAGTCCCACAAGCACATCTCTGGCTCTGAGCTGCTTCTTTGGAAAGGGGCAGTTTTTGTAGGCTTGTACCAGAGATCTGCAAGCCACCTGTCCAGGCGGGGCTTGGGTCAGCATGGCAGGTGCAGGAGTGTCACTGCATGGGGCTGAGTCCAGCCCAGCAGACTTGTCACTTGCTCCCCTGCCCTTCCCCTGAGAAGGCTCTTCTCCACCTCCCCGCTCTGAGGCTCTTCCTGCTGCGAAGGCTAGTGGATCTGCTGGGCAGAGATAAGAGTGCTCTTTGGGCAGCAACCTGTGTCTGTTCTTGCTTCCTGCAGTATTTCTAACTTTAGTACAGCCAGAGGAGAGCCCCAGAGCGTGATGTGCCCGACAGGGCAGGCTTCACCAGCAACACTGCTGTGCTCGCAGGGATTCAGGGCTGCTGGAGGGAGGACACTTGGCTTTTCCCTCTGCCTCCAGGGAGTGGTGCCATGGGCTGGGCCCTTCTGCTTCTCTGGCTCCCAGCCCAATTCCTCTGTCCCCTTTCCCCTTTTGTATCTGCTCCTCCATCTCTGGCTCTCCCCAGTAGATCTCCCTGGGTAGGAAGCATAGTGTTGGCCAGGAATAGCCAGGCCCTAAATTCTGTTATTAGGTGCTGTGTTTGTCTGATTCCCCCCGTGGGGCTTTAGAGTCCTTACCAGGGCTTGTCCAGGTGGTGAGTAGGTTGGCTGGTTCCAGTTATTCACGGTACAGAGCGTCTGCTTATCCAGAACATGGGCTGTAGGGGCAGGCGAGAAACCCTGGCACAGTGTGGAAAGATGAAGTGAGGGTGCAAGCCCCTTAGAAATGTGCAAGCTGGGCAAGAGCAGTGTATAACCATGTTGGGTTTTTTCTTTCATTCTCCCCTATGTTGGGCTCATTAAGTGAAGTGGCAGTGCCAGCCTAGAAGAGAGGAAGGGTTCAGCTTGTCTTCAAGGTGCTTAAGGAGGAAATAAACTTTTCTTTGTGCAGTGTGCTTACTTGAGTAGTGGAGTAGCCTGAAACAGGAGCTTCTTCCAGGTTTTCTGGAGCTGGTTTGCTGCTGTCCAAAGCAGGACTGCTGAGTTCTCAGCTTTATCCATGCTAGCATAATGGGGAACACTTTGCAGTACCTGTCCCCTCTTTTCTTACGCTGGTCTTGTCTGTGAGGAGGATGTTTTGTTGCAGATGAGCCCTGTCTAGCTGGAGATGTTCCTCTTTTGAACAGATTCTTAGAAGATAGAGACCTTTACCCTTTAGCATGGATGTAGAGGAGCTGACAGCTTCTATCCTGGGCTGCGTGTGGACGTGCTGTGTGCTGGTGAGAGCACAGGGTACAGGTCACAGGCAGGCAGCATTGCTGAGGGTGAATTGGCCCCTGTCCCTCTGGGTGAGGAAGATTCCATCAGCTCAGTGTACACGGCACCTACATCAAGTCAATAGTCACAAGTCTGACAACTACAGAGAGCTGAATCCTTTGGCTACCAGCTGGCAAAGATGGCTCAAATTGCACTTACTAAAAAATGCACAAGAGTGAGGCACCAGAGAGATGGATTCTACAGAGGGGCTGTGGTGCTGCTGCAATCACGTCTCCGTGTAGGAGGTTCCCTGTTCAGAGCAGCAGAGTTTGGGGGCTGCCTGGAACGGGATTAGAGACTGACTTTGGGGGGTACCAGGGATTTAGACTCTGGCCTGGAAGGTGGCATCTGTTTATTAAAGGAGGAGTGTTTTGTACTGCTGCATTGAGCTGCACAGTAGGTGGAGAAGAGACGCCTGAACAAATGTAGCTTGACCATTTGACTGGCAGTGAGAAGTGTGAATAGAAAAGTAATTTAACACCTCCCTTCACAAAACCCTCCACAGCCTCATACTCGACCCCTGCACCCCCAGGCACATTCCCATGCCTCTGCCAATCTTTTCCCTGCTGAGTGAGTCGATGCAGGGGTGGTGTTCTACTCTGCAGAGCTCTCCCAGGCTGCAGCTGGGGCTGTTGGTACATCTTGGACCTTGTGCCTGACTGGGGATGGAGCCGTGGCATGAACTCCTTATGTGCCACTGCTGTGCTGGTCCTGCCTGTGCAGTCCTCACTGCCACCCTGCATGCCTCCCCCCAGAGAAGGACGGGTCCCACTCCTCGTGCTCTGCAATGGCGTTCCCTGCTCCTCCTCACAAACTCTGCTGTGCTTTAACACTGGCTTGCTCCTGCCATGCAACTTGCTCATCCCCTGCTCCATTCCTGGCTCTTTGTTTCCTGTCTGTCTGTTGGGTTATTATAATTTTTTTTTTTTGTAAATTTCTGTTGGAACATTTTGTCATTGTGAACAAAGAAAAATGAAACCTTTTAAAACATATCCATTTTATTAAATGATTATTGTTATTATTATTATTATTATTATTATTAATGTTTACTACCTGAATTGATCAGTGAAATAAATACATTCAAAAAAGCAACCTCTTTCTGTTTAATTTTCAGTTCCCTTGAACAGCATTGGTGATACATTATGGGCAGGAGACATCAAAACTGACACTGTTTCTTTTGTCTATTTCTGTCAGAGCAGGCTCCAGGCAGGGCTTCCAGCGTGGGATTTCTGGCCTGTTCCTGTCAGAAGCTAGACATGGTGATCTTGAGGTTCTTCTATCTTTTAGCTTCCCCTAGGAGAGAGTTGTGTAAATCAGCAATGGGCAGCTGGGCAGGATCCAGTCCCAGGAAATCCATTTTGTAAGTTGGTCAGAGGAGCATTGCTGAGTCTGTGCTGCATGCAGAGCCAGAATGGGCCTGGCTGTAGATCAGCTCCGTGCCACACCTGGCCTGAACACCTGCCTGTGAATAAACGTAGCACCAAACACGTGAGATGAGGTAAGTTAGCCGAGCAGACTTACCCTGCAGTAGTCAAGCTGCTCCCAAGTGGAAGGCAAGTCCTGCAGGAAAAACTGGGTTCGTTTGTTGGCCTGGGGTCTCTTTCCCACTCTGCTTGCCATAGTGAAACAACTGGAAGAGTCTGCTCCAACTTTCTAGAAACTTAAAGCTTAATTGTTTTGTTTAGAGCATCATAGATTTTCCCTTAGGGCCAAAGTCTGCTGTTCTTCTTAACATCAGCGCATTCAGGGCATTCATCATTTCTGCTCTGTACAATGTGCACAGTACAAGGTAATGAAGAGTTGGCTCCAGTGGGGCAACAGTTTCACAGTGTAATTCTGGTGGCCTTATCCTAAGGAGCATAGCCAATGCCTGGAGTCAGGCTGATGGCAGAAAAATACCTGTGAAGGTGCAATGGCCTTGAGAAGACAAGATTCTACCTAAGTATAGTTTTGACCCTTGGACTTTCTTGTTCAAGACTTTGTGTAATGCAACTTCTGAATAAAGGATGTGGTCAGTTGAGAGCTGCCGACTCACTTGGCTATCAAAAGAGCACTCCCTTGGAGCACTATCTTTCCTAGTCTGTCATCCTTCCTGTGAATCTAACTAGTTTATTTTGATATAGACAGTGAAATGCCAAGAATTTTATTTTAGTCCTGTAGAAATCATGAGAGGATGCAAGTATCTGGAGGATCTTTCTCCTTGGATCAACTGTTGACAGCAGTGTGGTCACTGGAAGTCCATTTCTTGCAGCAGATTGTCCACTGCTACTTAGGAGTAGATTTGTGTCACTGCTTCGAGGGAAACCTCAGGGTCAGCACACTGCAAAGTGCTAGGTCCCACTACTCTGCCAAATACAGTCTTCCTGACGAGATGAGAAACGAAAGGCCACGGTGCTCAGGGAGTGTGGTACAAGCCAGTAACATCACCTGGCAGGTTGAAATGTTTTGAATGACTACTTTGCAACCGAGACTTTGCAGTGTTTCTGCTGGACTGAGCACACGGGCCCAGAATTGTGTTCTTGTGAGCAGTGTCAGCTCCCATTTCTTGGAAGGCTTGCTCAGTGAAGCCTCAGCTTCCGGTGGCATGCAGCAAACTTGTGTGGGAGGTGTCCCTAGGATGAGCCTGACCCTTATCTTGCCAGCCAGCTGCAAAGGGATTATCTGGGAGCTCAGCTATGCAGCTGCAAACACTCTTGCACTGGCTGGTCTGCCTTAGGACCTTCCTCTTGTGTTGTAAAGCCAGCAAGAAGGCAAGGATTGAACTACTCTGGTAAGTCAACAAAGCTACTTTCTGTTCTTCTTTTTTTTTTTTTTTTCTTTTCATTTGGTTGACAGATTACACAGAAAAGCACTGCCTTGTTGTAGGTATGTGTTCTGAAAGAAGTTATAGCAGCTCATGTGTTCAGCGGTGGCATGAGACTGCAGTACAAAGAGAGCTCATTGACCCATGTCTTCCAGCACGGTCACAGCTCCAGAAGGAGATTATTCACCTGCTGGAGCAATGTCTAGTGTGGAAAACTCCACTGACCTCAACCCTCAGTGGTCAGCACTCTGTCTGCTGGACAAGGACTGTTTATCACTTCTTTTCAAAACAGGAAAGGCTATTTTTCACTTGTAACAGTAAAATTATTTCTGAATCTCCTTTTACAGTTTGCATGAACAAAGCTCTGGTTACAGATGTAATTCAGAGCTATGATAAGGCATGAGCAGTTTCATATTCTAATTTTTGATTCCTTGACATAAATTTTCTTGGCCACCCTAGTAATGCGCCTCCAGTAATGCTGAAAATACAAGCAGCTCTTTTACGCTTCTGAGGACTAGTGAAAATGAATTTGATGGCTGCAGCTAAGCCTCCCAGTAGCCATCTGTTCATATCCTACCTCAAATCCAGGGTTGGAAGACTAGGAACATTCCCTCTCCCATAATGAGAAACCAAGAATTTGCACAACACCTCTTTTAACTCTCTTCTTTTCGCAGCTCTCACATCTCCTGTGAAGGACACCAAATTCACCCAAATTTAGAAACTCATCCTCAGAACAAACCAACGAAAGACCTGGGCTGTGGTGTCAATCCTAGAGTGTGTGCTGTCTGCCTGGTCTCCACCTCATCCAGTCTCACCAGGGGTGTGTTTGCAGGTGAAAATGAACGGTGGAATTCTCTTCTTGTCCCTCCTTGGCTTCCTCCCACTCGTGATACCCACATGCCCTGTGCCATGCAAGTGTGCCACCAACATTATTGACTGCACGTCAAAAGACCTAACTGTAGAAAAACTACCAGTTGCTTTCCGCCCTTCGGCTGAAATTATCCACCTTGGTTACAACAGGCTCACCTCTATTCCCAGTGGGCTCTTTGACAACCTAAAGAGCCTCCAGGTAGTCTACCTGCAGGGCAACCCTTGGGAATGCAACTGTGACATCCTTTACTTGCGCTCCTGGCTCCAGTGGCAGCAGAACCGGACCTTGTACAGGGATGTGAGATGCGCCTCCCCAGCTCACCTGCAGGACCGGATCATTGCCTATCTCACAGAAGACGAGATCATCTCCACATGCCAGTACTGGTACTGCAGCCTGGCTCTCGTCTCTCAGATCTGTCTCTTCATCTTCCTTTTCCTCCAGGGTATCTTGGTTATCTTCATCATTGTCTACCTGCGGAAATTTCGGAGAATGACCGCTGAAGCCCGAAGCACCACCCAAGATCTACACCAGCATGTAGATACTTGGGTATCTTCTTCAAGAAACCCCTACAACAGTGATTAACATCACAAGACTGAAGACCCTCCTCCCCCTTGGGTGATGCTATGCTGAGGTCATGTGGTTTGTGATATGCAGAGGGGACAGTTCAGTGCAGTGTCTGATCGTGACTGCAGTCCAAAGCAGGACTTGAACTGATCAGACACTTGCTGTATTTCCAAAGACCTGATCTTGTGGTTTTTAATGCTTTAAACTCTTTAGCATGATCTTGATTGCTTTGCTGAGCTTTGGTAGACTAGGGAGATCATAAACTACAGCAACCAAAACTGACTCGAACTGCTTATAAGCTTGTAGGGACTGTGGTGCTCGATCCCTCGAGCTATAGTATTTCAGCCATGCTTTCCATGATGCTTCTGGTTGCATTGGGTCAGGTGAACCCAGAGGTGGACAGTGAACAGGAAAGGTACTGAACTAGGACAACAGAGAAATACAGTTTCCTTGGTGCTGCAACAGATTGCCTTAGTAACTTTGGATAAGTGACTAAAGTTGTCTCCTGCCTCAGTTTCCCATCAGTAAAAGGGAAAGGATGTTTCTTGCCTGATGCATCTTTTCCAGTGTTGTTCTGGGGGTGGGGAGGGAAGGAATGTTTGAAAGACTACTCATTTTACCCTATCTTCATTCCTTTTAATCTACTTATAGTTTTAATACTGACTTCAACATGTACTGAGTCAGACTGGGGCCCTGAATGTTTATGAGGAATTCACCCTGAAGCCAAGAGTTGTCAAGACTAGAGGCTCTTTCTGACTTTGCTTGTAAGGCACCTGCCACAAGAGATCCCGTTTTCTTTGGAGCCTCAAACTGCAAAAACTCCTCCTGTGTCTACTGCTGGTTATGATGTCCCTTAATTATTTTTGGAAAGAAGCAAAATTGAAATAAAGTAATCATGCATGATAATGTAAATTACTTTTTGTCTACTCCACACTAGGTATCTTGCAGTCTTTCGTGCTCCCTGGCATTTGCACATGCTCCCTTACCCTCAAACTTTGTGCCAAGCAGAACAAATAGGGAAGGCAGGCGGAGGTGTTACCAGAAGTGCGCCAGAGGGTTAAACTGTGGCAGCTACCGGCTTTCCACAAAGGGCCAGTCCAACTGTGGAGTTTCTTCTAGTTCCACCGAGTTGCTGCTTATGTATTTATGATGTGGGCTGGGGAAAAGGGAAGGGTGTTTCCTGGTGCGAAGCACACCTGTAGGGCCATGGCCCCTGTGCCCTCGGGCCCCAGCCCCAGCTCACGGGGTTCCAGCTCACATCAGGATGGAGCTCAGCCGCCAGCAGGGGACGGGACAGCCGGCAGGCCGCGGAGCCTCGCCCCGGCGCCAGCGGAGGCTAACGGCCCCCAGAGGTGACTAACGGCCCCAGCGGTGGCTAACGGCCCCCAGCGGTGGCTAACGGCCCCCAGCGGTGGCTAACGGCCCCCAGAGGTGGCTAACGGCCCCAGCGGTGACTAACGGCCCCCAGAGGTGACTAACGGCCCCAGCGGTGGCTAACGGCCCCCAGAGGTGGCTAACGGCCCCCAGCGGTGGCTAACGGCCCCCAGAGGTGGCTAACGGCCCCCAGAGGTGACTAACGACCCCCAGAGGTGGCTAACGGCCCCCAGAGGTGACTAACGGCCCCCAGAGGTGGCTAACGGCCCTCAGAGGTGGCTAACGGCCCTCAGAGGTGGCTAACGGCCCCCACCGGTGACTAACAGCCCCCAGAGGTGGCTAACGGCCCCCAGAGGTGACTAACGGCCCCCAGCGGTGGCTAACGGCCGCCGAACGCCCCCTGAGGGCCCTGGTTGTCCCTGGCCCCCCCCCGCGGAGCCTCCCCGCAGGTTCAGGAGCGGGTCTGGGCGCTCAGGGCAGAGCCTGAGGAGAAAAGGAGCGTCCTGGCGGTTCTCTGCATCAGTTTGCTTCACATCGGCTCAGCTCCTCTCGGGGGTCTGTGTGAGCCAAAGAAATGATGAAGTACTGCAGTGGAATAGGCTGCTGGTGCTCGGGTGGAGGCTGAGGCGGGAAGATGGGGTCCTGTGAGCAGCGAGTCCCCTCGCCGTGCCGGGGAGGGCGGGCGTGCAGTGGGGTGGGCAGTTTCGAAGGCCCAGCAGGACCTTCACCGTGCTGTGTGCGCCTGGGCCAGCCTGACACGAGGTGAGTGATACACGGCTCTACGTTCAGGGCCCACTGCCCTCCTTTTTCTCTCTTTGCCCCGTGTCCCTCCAACACTAACCCTCTGTGACATTAGCCTGACTGGATGTTGCACCCAAAGAAATGGAGTTCCAGATGAGGTTTATTTTTTCTTCTGGGGATTGGGACTTTGTAGCCAATGCACCCCTTTGCTAGGGACTGTGACAGCCCCTGCAACGTCACCATGACCATGGTCTCCAAGGAGGGACACAGCTCCACTGAGAAGTCTACTCTCTGGAGATGCCCAGATTGATGCTCCATGAGGCCCCCTGACACTCTTAAATCTCTGATTTTTAAGTACTGTGATATTATTCCCCCCCTCCCCAAGGAACAGCTTTCCATAGCAACAGAAAGCTTGTTTTCTGGCTTGTTCTTTCCCAGTGTCCCTTTCCCAAAATTAAGATGCAGATGTGGAAGGAAGTAGCACAACCCATTGTCTTCCCTTCATCCCTTCCTTCTTGTTTCTTTAGGTCAAATATATTGTTATCTTGGCTGTTTTATGCTTGTTGTTCAAGTCCCTTTACTGATACATACAAGGGATGTAAAAGGCTCTGTAAAAGGCTCTTTGCTTTCCCAGTGCTATTGCAAAGTCTGCTAGTGTGGCAGAATGAATCTCTGTTTTTGCCTACAGATGTTTAGCTGAATTTACCTGAGTTAGAGGATATTGCTAGTGCATGTGGGCAGGTACTGACGGTGCTACAGGCACAGGCTCAGTTGCTGGGAGAAGCTGGACTGGGAGCAGGCACAATCCCAGCCCTATGACTGCTGAGCTGCCTGCCTGTCAGCACTGCCACGGCGTGCTGGAAAACCTTCAGGACTCGGTGTGCCCACAAAGACAGAACTGCTGACTTTGGTTTCCCTTCCCTGGGGAGGCAGGAGGGGTCCTGACTCTGCCTTATTAAGTCTTGGCACATGAAAGGTAAAAAGCCTTTTTGGCATCATTTGCACCTGTGAAGTATGTGACCAGCCATAGCAATGTGATAATGAATTGCACTGAGCGCAGAGTGATTTGTATGCCATGGCAGCATGTCTAATCCATAAATCTAGAGCCTGGCTCAGAAAGCTGCACGTCACAGATGCTTTCTTGCTCTGCCGGCCTGTGGAGGATCTGCTGTGCTGCTGCTGAAGGGAGAATTGGCTTTCTTTCTGAAGGGAGGGACTGTCCAAGGCTGCACATTGACTTCAAAGGGGAAGCAGTGGTGAAATATGGCAAAAATAAATGCAAGCTATTAAGGTGCTTTGCAAATCATTTCCTAGTATCAAGGCTGAACCAACACCTGGGCATGCAGGATTGGGCTGCTAGGCCTGCTGGACAGGCTGCTGCATTGGCAAAGGTTCAGGGTGTTTCCAAGCAGCTCCTTTCCCTGAAAGATACTGGGATAAAAAAACCTAGGAAAACAAACCAAAGTGTGTTTGCAGCCTCCATGATGCAGAGCTCCAAACCTGAGGTGTCTAAAAAGCAGGTCAGCACTTCCTAAGTGAAGGTCCAGATGGTTGGTAGATGACATGGGGGGGGGGGGGGGG